AACCCCTTCACCCCCTCACTCCTATTGCAAAGGCTCTGGCAGAGGCAGCTTCCCACATCAGGTGCTGGGGGAAATGGGGTAGGAAGAGGGGGTGAGGCTTAACCCGAGGCCGTGGCGCCTCCTGCCGGCCGCAGCGGGGAACAGCAGTGAGAAAGGGCTGCTAAGGGGTGGGGGCACCGAGCCCGTGCTCCCCCGGAGGGCTGCCGAGAGCATCTCAAAGGCAGAGCTGCAGTTTAAAATATAAGATTCTTGCTTTATGTTCCATAAATCAGCCTTCGCTCCGCACGCACATCTCGNGCCTTCGCTCCGTACGCACGTCTCGTGGGCTGGGCACAGTTTTAAAGCCCGGTTCTTGCCTTCAAGGAGCTTAAAATCTATTCTGAGCGCAGGAGGCTGAGGCGCAAACTAAGGGAAACAAAGCAAGGTAATTGTAATTAAGGGCTACATTGTATCATACAGATCCTACGTGTGCTTTGCTGACTGCTGGTGAAGGTTTGAGGAGCTTGGGGTTTTTTATTAAAGTAGATTCTGTTATTTAATGACCGTGAGAAGACGAGACAGATGAATAATCCCTAAATAAAACTAGATTTCATGGCATTTACAACCCCACCCTCTTGTAAAAGGCAAACATCTGTTTCTCACCCTCTTCAGCTGTTTTCTATTTTAATAGCACTTATCACCACCTGTAGTATTGTTTATTTTTTACATTAATATCATTGTTCTTGCATCATTTTTACTTTGATGCATTGTGCCTTCAAAGATCCAGAATATTACAGTGGTGGAGAATTTTCAGATGGGTTATATCATGAGCTTTTCATCGACATTCCTGAGAAGCAGCCAGGTAACAATCCTGTGTGAAGCTGTTACACCCAGTAGCTTGGCACTTTGATGACCTGGGATACACCAGCTGTGTATTGCAGGCCTGTAGACCAGACAGCAGTCACAATACATTTGAACTAATTTTCCTGTTTTCTAGTTTTTGTTAGTCTTAATCTTTGAATTGAAGTTTTTAAGACACACACAAATATATTAGCATTATATTAACACACAAATACGGCCCTGGCCAGGTCGCTCAATTGGTTAGAGCATTGTCCCCATACACCAAGGTTGCAGATTCAGTCCCATCAGGGCACATACAAGAAGCAACCAATGAATACATAAATAAGTGGAAAACAAATTGGTCTTTCTCTTTCTCTCTCTCTCCCCCCTTCCTCTCTGTCCCTAAAATCAATTTTAAAAATTAAAACACACACAAATGCAGTGTCCACATGCAAATTATTCTATCTCAGTAATGGTTCTGCTATTTTTCTAAGCTGGAGTAAGGCTGATCTTCCACCTCTTCGGAGAACTGCAGAACCACCACAGAGTCACTGTGCCCCTTGGCACACAACAGCCAACCCCAGCCCCTGTACGTGCAGATTTCCCATGTGAGAATATGGATTCCAGGAGGAGTGTAGGATGCAGAGAGCAAGGGCCCTGTATTTCCTGAAACACTTTTTCCTGAGTCTTCCAGGAATGCCCATTACCTTGGGAATAAAATCCAATTCACTCAAGGGCCAACCTTTAATCCATTTTTTTAACCTCATAGTTCACATTCCCCTTTCTATCCCCAATTCCCTTTACCAAAACTGGACCCTCCTTTTCTGTTTTCTTTTCTTCCCTTCCTGGACCCCGCAATTCCGTTCTAGCCTATTCATTCACTTTTGCAAGTGTAGAGGAAAGAATGAACTCTCAGACCCCTCTCCCTAATTAAGTCCATACCCTCCTTTAGTTTCTAGCTCAAGTCCCACTTCCCTGAGGATATTTTTCAGTCAACCAAAACTGGATTGATTTCTCAGACAATTTCGAGGATTTTTAAAGGAGGTATGGCACCTCACCACCATGCCCCTGACTCCCACCCCCTGCATTTGGAAATGTGTAGAAGACTTTCCATGATCAATTATCAAGTGCCTGGGTGATGCTACTGGGATGTATGGCCCAGGCACCAGAGATATTACACAGACATACCTGTATTATGAAGCACTGGCCCAGAAGGAAAACAAGACTTCCATAAGCTGTTTCTGTTGAACCATATGGAACTACTGGTAGTCAATCATATGAAATTGCCAATCATATAAAATAACCCATTATTGGCCTATAAGAAAGGGGCAATTTCATAAAATTTAACTAAAAATTATATTCTTATGTGTATAAGATATATAGATAGACCAGCTAGGTTATCTGTGTATATATTTCCAGCAACTGGCTATTGGCTCTCAACCTCTGAAGTTCCCAGGGCAAAATTTGAAATTGGCCCCATACACAAAGGTAAAGGAGAGACCAAAGAAAGAAGGAAGGCCACTCCAGATTGGTAGGTGGCAGTGTTAATAAGCAAGGGAACTTATATACAAAGCTTGTCTTGGGCAGTTGCAATACAAGTAGATCTCTGTACCCACCCACAAGAATGTCAAGAGTTTATATAGAGGCCTTAACAGGGTTCAGTCACATATATGGTCAGATGGTCTCAACAATACCTTATTCTCTCAAGGCTGCATCCTTGAAACTGCTCCTAGTGCAGAAACACTGGGCAGAAGGTGCATTCCAAGGACAGGGAAGGGGGTAAGGAGCCTCAGACTGTCCCGGTCCAGCTCCGGGGTCGACAGGTGGTCACGTCTTTTCAACGACCTCCAAAACAGGCACAATTCCAGACATGCTGTGGAGGGTCCATAAATGTTAAGGTTTTTAAATGACTATTAAACACTACTTTCCCAAGCAGTCTTGCTGATTCTGGGAGAGCTCATTCTCAGGACCAGGCCGCTTGTGAGTGGAAGGTGAAGCTTTTCTCCATGGTATCCATTGTCCATATCCATTCAATGGGAGAAGATCTCTCTCCTTGTTCTCAGACTCCTGTAACTCCCTTGCACTTCTCATGAACAAGCTTTGCCTCCAAGGACCACAAATCTTTCAATAAAACTGTTTTCAAGGATCCCCCAGATTCATGAAATTGGAAACACCATTTCTCAATATTGCAAATAAGTATTTTCTAACTCCTAGTCAGTCAGCACAGGAAGTAACATTCTAACAAGATAAGATGTTGGATTACATTTCATAGCATTATTTATTGAGGCAGAAGCTCTTTACCAGGGCTGCTGATGACACTGCTATCTCATTTGACCCAAAGAGAGGATCCCAGGAGAAGCAAACACTCTTGTCAATGGCCCAATCAGCAGTTGCAAAGCCCATGCCTTGCCTGGCCAAAAAACAAGATATTTTCTTTCACAACATCTTTCAAACCAAACACTGGTACCGAAGAATACAGACTGAAACTTATAATTTAGGGCCTTCTCTTTTAGGAAAATGATGTGAATATGCATATTTACTTAAAACTGGAAATAAATCACAACCATTTAAAAAGTCTTTGATACTTATAAACGCTACAAATTTTTTTAGTTAAATAATAAAATTTTTGTTAGTTACTGCCTGACTCTTTTGTAATACTTTTCTATATTTTTTCATTTATTTTTATTGTTGAAAGTATTACAGATGTCCTCCTTTTTCCCCATTAATCCCCTCCACCCCTAATCTGCCACCCCCAGGCTTTCTCCACACTATTGTCTGTGTGCATGGGGTTATGCACATAATTTCTTTGATTAATCTCTCCCCACCCCCACCCACACCTTCCCTCTGAGTCTATATTTTTTTACTTCATACTCTTTGAGCACCTCTTCACATTATGATTAATAATATAATTTTCTATGGAAATAACAGAATTCAGTCTGTTCTTCGCCATGGTTGTTCAAAATTGTTTTTCATTATTGATCATTTGATCATTTAGAAAAATATCTCACTTATTGGTAGTAGTGCAATGTTCATTTTTTAGAATTGTTGTCAAATTAGGGGAAACTGTTATCAAACTTCTCCTATGCATAAGTAGTAAGGTTTCGAGGATCTCAAGTTTTCTCATATAGTGACTAATCATAAATATCCCTTGACTTGAGAACAGTCATTAACCAGTTTGCAATGTATATATAAACTTTACATAATCTTCATCAATGTCAGTATTTCGTCTCAAGCCAGAAATTTAAATCTTTTCCCAATGTGTTCACATGATTCACCCCTCTTCATTAACTGGATTATCAAACAATCCAGAACCTGTTCCTTACCTCTGTTCAAACTTTCTCTTTTCTTCTTAAGGAATTACACTTTTGGTAGAATCTGAGAAAGAATGTAGCAATTTGCCCCTAAGTGTCAGAGTGATTTCTATCGTGTCAGTGTTGCTCTTTATCTCTTTCTGTTTCATATTCTGTTAACTATTAATCTGAATCTCCCCTTGGTTCCTTAATATATAAACGTACATAATAAAAGAAGGGACTCTTCAAGCATGTCCCAAGCAACAGAATGTAATGTCTCACTTGTTTTATGAAAATGTCCCAAATGTTTTTTTCCAAATTGCACATAAAGTAGCACAATCAAGCTTTATCAACTCTTTGAATAAACTTTTTTACACGTCTACGTTTGGGTATCTCTTCCCAGCCTATGGCAAATTTCAGAACCTTAATTTTTTCTGTTTTTATTTCATTTTATTTTATCTTTTCATCACCATGTATCCCCTGCATACCATCTTCCACCTCC